TTTGTTTCTCTGCTAGTTACTGACCCCAAAGTCATGAGTAAGGGATCGTGAATAATGTGTAAAGGCTGTAACTGGTTCAGAAAACCTTTAATTGGCTAATTAAAAAAAGCCCTATAAGGGGCTGCAGAGAATCACCCAAAATATTCCTAATGCAGACTGACGCTTTGATTTTCCCCAAAGTTTGAAGCAAGACTTTTGGTATGATCACAGTTTGAGTTAGAGAGGGTAGAATTACTTTCTTCCAACAACTCATTCATTCCTCCAAAGAGTGCTGACACAATCAGATCTCTCATCAGGGTTTAATGCGAAGTCTCATAGCCCTGAAGCAGCACAAAAATCTATTTCCTGAACATTTCACTGACCTGTGGTGTTAAAGACTTGCCAACTAAGACAAACCATTAAATGAGCACGGAACCACAACAGTAAAAATACAGCACGAAGCAGCCTTGGCTGGTAAGACCTCAGGGTCTAAATCCAAAAATATTTTATCATCTTTAGTGGATCTACTGCTGTTTTCAGAGGCACAGATTGAATTCCCCATAGTGGAGGTCGAATCTGAGACACACCACACACGTGGACCTGGCACCAAGTTCCCGTGTGATCCAGGCATGTACCAGTGACACTGGCGCGTGTCACTGTCAGGACAGCCCAGTGCTGAATGTGACTTGTTCTCTGCATCTGTGCACTCACACTCTTACAGTACTTCAGCAAAAATGATGCTGTTGCTCTTTTGCAGTTTTCTTACCTCTCCACTTTCAAAGCAGTTTAAAATATATGCAAAAAACCCTCTATACTTCAAGACTTTAGTTTATTAACCAAGCTGGGGCTTAATCTTAGTTTGCAAACAGGGAGGGGACCAATCATTTGTCCTGTTTGTGGCATGACAGAATTACAGGATAATTAAGGCCAAAAGATACCTCAGAAGATTGTTGAGCCCACCATTTGAGCAGGAGCGCAAAGCAAAACACATCCGTAGTGTTTAGGCACCACCTGGGCTGCAACACTGGCACTGGAGAAAAGGGCCTGCTTGCGTGTACTCAGGTTGTGACACATATTTTGCACTGGGGCTGTGCTCTACCATCAGATCAGCATTATGATTTATAGCATATTCTTACCATAAAAATGCCATTTTTGCTGCTGTCTTTCTCAACATCGACTTGAATTTTCTCCTAAAAATTTTCTCATTTATGCATATTCTAAAGATGGTAAATGTGTTGACAGTTAGGTGCAAGCTTTCTCTGTTCAAAATTTCCTTGAATTGTCCTATGGATGAGCCTTAGACTTCTCAGTTTTTTCCTCCTGCTCTCCATTAACTCTCAGTGTGCATAATCAAAAGATTTCTTTTCATTGCCAGCAAAAAGGACAGGTTAAAGTAGGCAGAGATTTATGAACGCAGTTGTATTTTTCATGTTATTCACAGTCTCCCTCATCCTTCTGCCAAAAGCTCCCCATGATGTGTGTATCCAGAGGGGTTAAAGGAAAAGCAAATATTGATTGTCTCGAGCTAAAGTTTGTACGTTCCCAACTATAAAAGTGAAGCAGTGAGACAGATGGAGCCACATCATGATATTTAAGCATAAAGGTCAGGGAGTGAGCTGCCGAGTGGTTATATTCAACAGGGCTTCAGTGCTTAAAGAATAGGGGTTGCTGCTGCTGACAGATTTGTTAGAAACCTGTTTAGCTGCCACGAGCATGAATATATCCAAACAGAAGCATCTATCATCATTAGTATGATAACCCCAAATACATTTATTTCTTGTTTGGTTGTGCTTATTCTAGTTCTTACTCTTAATCTCCACAGACTTTGGACTCAGCCTAAACATCAGTTGATTTTTATGGTTGGCTTCATTAGCTTTTAGTGCAATTTCAGTGGCTCGGTTACTAAATCAAATCCACTGTGATTGTGGTTGCATATGCTTCACAGGCCTCTTGAATATGGCAGATTACTTGGAGGCCCGTTTCTCCTTTATTTTATGCATTTTGGACCAACAAATCCTTTTGATTTCTACCTTCTTTGTGAAGTTAGTGCTGTTGTATCTGCACAGACTGTTTGAATTTAGCAGTACAGAAACAAAGATGAAAACATTCTGCCTGGAGGAAAACCAATGTCAAATATTCCTGCTTGGCTGTCCTTGTCAGGACATCTTCATATTGCATTGCTTAGAGAGTTCCTGATGTGTGTCTCTATCAGAGCTCTTATTTTACGACATATTTTGTTGTTTCCTTTTCCCTCCGAGAACTATAAAAAAATTATCTTTTTTTTTTCCTGAGGGTGTGAGGAGGTTCCTTAACACATACTATAATAGTTTCTTTTCACAAAGATCACCTAGAAGAGGAATCCCCCTGTTAAGTATTTACTGCCTTGTCATCAGACAATGCATTTAGTAGTTGCTTGGATTAACCCTCCAGGATTTGCTGGCTTTCCCCTTCCCTGAGATGTTTACCATTTCAACAATGGTGAAGAGTTAGCTGCATTAATAGGAGTATAGATTTAACCTGCATCAGTCCAGAGCAGGGGGCAAAGTGAATGCTTATTATTAAATAATGAAGTATTTTCCATTCCTGTGCACAGCGGTCCTTTGGGACATGAGGGCTGAGAAGCAAATTGAGGGAGAACCTTGCCAGCTCTAATTACACAGTTTGCTTAGGCACTCTCCACTCCGTCAGTCCATCGCTAATCCACGTGTTAGCATAGAAAAGACGACTGACTCATTGTGGGGGAACTTGAAATACGTAAAAAAAATAATCAGAATTCTGCAGTGTTTTCCCCTTGCACCAGAATGCTGTGGCAGTAATGGTGTGAGATGTTGGAGGCCCGGGCTCTCTCTCCCTGCTCTCCCCCGTGAGGCTTTTCCTCACAGGTAACTATAGATGGGGCCAAACTTCCTCGGTTGCCTCCACTTTGCCGGTGGAGCGGATCAGGGCTGAGGAGGCCTAGCCAGCACTGTGTGCCTACTCATGCCCACCACAGGCCTGGAACCCTGCCCAAACACCCTGGGGAGCCGGCCCATCCTGAGGGAGGAAGGGGCATGCTTTTGGCAACAGCCTCAGGGAGAACCCTTCTCGCCCTCCTGTGTCTTTAGCGCCCAAATCATAGCAGAGGTGTCTCGGGTGTAGGGTGCTGGGGGAGGTGAAGTTCTGGCTGCTGTGGTAGCCCTCAAGGAGGGACCTCCGGGCTGAAAGGACACGGGGCTGGGGCCCGCGGGGCCTTCCGTGGGGCTGTGGGCCTGGCCTGGCCCGGCCCAGCCGTGGAGCAGTAGCTCCAGTCCCTCTGAGGGAGACTTCCCAGAGAGCTGAGCACATCTGTCAGCTCATTGTCTGCGTGGAGAACAAAGAGGAAAACAACAGAGAAAATGCAAAATGCATTTAAAAATACTCTTTCATTTCCCTTTTTGCCAGAAGCAGTACTTAAATAACAGAGGACAAAAGCAGCTCTTACAGAACTTCCAAGAACTGGGAAAAATAAAAAGTCCTGTGAGAAGGACTGTTTTTAGGAGACTTCCACCCCTGTCCTGCCAGACCTGGGCATGCAGTCTGGGGAACCCCCGCAGAAACGTGCCCGGGAGCTGCCTCCCCCTCTCCAAAGCAAACACCAGCCTTGTGGCTGCAGTATTTCAAGTCACGTCAGTTCATTGGGATACGTGTCCCCTATTCATTTTAAAATCAAGCTTTCAGAAAGGAAGTCACGTCAGTTCGTTGGGATACGTGTCCCCTATTAATTTTAAAATCAAGCTTTCAGAAATGTATAAGGCAAACTTTTTTTCCCATAGGTATTTTTCTGCTGCAAATTGCTTGGCTAAAAGGCTCAGTAGAATATAAAAATCAAAGGGGTAGAGATTAAAATCTAAACAGAAAAAAAGTAATAAGGAAGGCATTGCTAAAAGATGTTTCTGGGAACTGTGGGTGACAGTAGATTTAGGAGATATTTGTAGCCAGATCAAGCACCCAGTCTGTGTACAAATGTCCTGTCACTACTGATGTACTCTTGCACAAGGGTTACTTTGATGGTATTCCATACAAGGGGATCAAATTTTATTTTCCCCTATAAATAAAAATTTGTGTAACAGAATGGAGACGAGCTGTGTGGATGTAATTAAGAGCAGAAGGACTTCAGTGGTTCAGAGGTAGAGACCGTTGCACGTGCAACGAGATGCTTTTGCACTGAGTATGGTGAATATTTGGTGCTTTATAGTGACTTTAGGACTGCCGGTGGCACTCTGTCACAGCTCACAGTGGTGGCAGTGCTGAGGCATGGAGATATTGGGCTTCTTCCTCAATAAGAGGAGATGTATTGCTAGATACTGTGTGCTCAGGTTTCATATTGCACGTATAAGAAACAAGTATAAATAGTAAGAGGGCATGCATAACAGAAATCAAGCACCCTAATAAGTTGTTTTGCCAATTATGGTAAGAATCTGTCCCCGTTGATCTACTTCTAGAAAAACCTATGCTCCCATGAGAATTCAGAGCACCTGCCAGTCTCAAGTGTGCTTGGCTCCATCTCCATGCACCCCATATGCGATCTGGATTTTTAGCTAGTCATTCCTCCACCTCTTCACCCATTCCACCACTTACCACACTACTGGGGAACCATGTGGTCTTAGCTTAAAATAATGGAAGGTTTGCTGAGCTGCTGACTGAATGTGACCATTAATGAGTCATCTGACCTTCTGATGCCCTCCATCAGTCAAGCTGGCTGATATCAAATCTGGTAAAAAGCAGATGTTGCACCTGTGCTAAATACTTCATTCCTCAGTTTGGCTAATTTCTACATAAACATTTAATTTTAATATGAATGTAAGCCTTTTCCTGGAGAGAGGTGTTCAATGGTAAGTTTAAATTAAATGCTGTTGCTTTTGGTTAGGACTGGGAACGTGCTTGAAATTAAGTCCATTTTAAGAGCTTTGCTAACCTTATGCCCTTAGTTTGTCTCCTTTTTTAAAGTCAAACTTTATGATTTGAAAAAATACTTTGAGGTTAATATTGTGAAATTCTTTTAGATGGGCAGCAGATCTGGGAAATGGAGGCAACAGTGGACAAAGATAAGAGCCAGCCTGTAAGTATGCAAAACATTGGATGTCCTCTCCTTGTCTTCTTCAAGTTGTATTCAATGGGTAGTTTTCAAAAGAGCATCTCAAAAGCAGAAAGAGCAGCTATCTTACTGCTGTGATGAGCAAATGTCAAATGCTTCAGCTCTAAATGTGTTGCAAAAAGAAACGATTCATCTAGCAGTAACCCACAGCAAATTGAATAACTGCTAGATTTTGTGTTCTTGCAGAAGACTCTATTGTATCATCCCAGTCCTCTGCAGGATGCTGGCTGTCCTGACTTCCTTTCGCCTGTACAGAAGTTTTGGGCGCTGTGTACTTTGCAGGACGGGATTTGCACTATAGTGTTTAAAATGAACGTTGATCTTTCAAGGGAATGAGCCTCTTTGTTCACTCTGCTTAATGGGACCTTACTGTAGTTGTTCATTTAGGAGCTAGCACTTACATTGCCATGGGCCATGCCTGCTCTTGTGGAAGAGAACGGGACACTTGCTGTTAATCTCCATGGAAGCAGGATCCGGCTGCGTATAAGTAAAAAGCCTATAGAATAGTCAAGTTTATTCTAACAAAAAGAGGGAATTCTGCAACGCATATTATTTATCAAGCACAGTGCAATTAACAGTGCTGCCACATTTATCACCATTCTGTGTATTTTATTTGTAGTTGAGACTTCCCTCTCCAAGTTCAGGACAACATCAAGTACAAGAGAGGATAGAATACATACAAACCAACTTCCTAGTACCAAAAAATCTAATCTTTTACCATCTGCCCTTTTTTTTCCTTTCTTCTTCTCATACCCTTCTTTATAGGGATGAATAGGGAGATTTATCTTCCTTTATGCCTGGATGTGTAGCAGGGGAGATGCACGCAAAGATCTCCTGTAGGCCTCAGTTGCTAAATCTGTATTGTTACCTTTTGTTGTTTCAGAGCATGCTTTTCGTAGAAATACCTGAGTACCGTAACAAGCACATTCGCACAGCTGTGAAGGTGAATTTCTATGTCATCAATGGGAAAAGAAAAAGAAGCCAGCCCCAGCATTTTACCTATCACCCAGGTAATTCTCAAGGACAGAGCAAGTTCTTGCCTAGTTCTCATGAGCAAGATTTTATTTTCTGCTGTTGTTTTCTTGTTATTTGAGGATCTAAATTTGACTAATTCAGCTGAGTGCAGCTAAGCACTCAACAACTGTTTAGTTTAAAGGATGCATGTGATTTATGATCAAGAATTTCCGTAAATTTAAGGGGACAGTTATCTTGGCAATAGACTGATGCTGCCCCATTCACTTGATGGAAGTTTGCCAAACAGCCTCAGTGGGAGCAGGCTCAGTCTGTGACATGATGTGACCTTGTGAAAACCATGAGCATTGCCTTTCCCAGCTGACGTGTACAACAGTAAGATAACATCAGATCTGGGAAAGTAACAAGCGCTTGGTATGGAAGAAGACAAGCAATATATATTCAGAATGAGGCTGGTTGAGAAAAAATATGAATGCTTTTCTGATGTTCTTCCTCTTGGGAATTGGTAAGCCATGTCACAATAAATGCAGTAGGATCACTAATGAGATTCCCAGAATTTCTCAGCTTTGGCTGGGAGAAAAATATTGTGAGAAAAAATCAGAGTATTGTGTTTGTGGAAACCAGAAAGCATAAAATAACAGTACCAGATTTTATGCAAGCTTCAAAATGATGTCTTAATTTGACTGGTTTCTAAGGACAAGAAAACACTCATTCTGGTTCTTATTTTGGTCTCCTCCAGCCTGAAATTCTCTGGTCCTCTCCTTGAATTTATGAACTGTATAGTGTGTCACCAATGCAAAAGTTTTATGTAGCTTCTAAATTGTTCTGCCATCGAATAGTATTGAGAAGTACAACACTATCTCAATACCATTCCTAAAGTAGACCACTTCAGGGAAGGAATCCTTACACTTCCAAAAACCAATCCTGTTGCATGACCACTCTATGGCTTCCATTGTATGGTATTTCTGTACTGAGTTTTGGGGAAAATTTAACCAAAAAAAAAAGTATTAGAAATGTGAGAATTTGTCTGTAGAGGAGCATCATTTATCTACATCAAGATTCACACAACTCTTACTAAATCATGGTCTGTTGAATGATGGTGTCAGAAAAGTCTTAAGCCCTCAGTACTCAGGAAGTTACATGCAGCAAAGGAACTAAGAAGGTGGCTCTAAAATAGTTCAGCTCTGCCTTTGGTCACTAGTTAAATCTTTCACAGAAAAATGAGGAGTTGTATCTCTCATAGGTTTTCTATGTATTCAGTCTTCCTTTGAGATGGAAGTACTACATGAAACACCTATCTATAGCTTCTTATTTTGCTTATGTTCCAAAATGGCCCTTAAATGAATTAAGATATGAGCTGAAGTATTGAATTTTTCAATTTTTAGAAATTTGTGGTTAAATAGTTTATTAAAGATTCTCAACAACCTTAGTAGAGTGCTTTCAAGAGAGACTGCCATGGTTGTATAGACATGATTTATTAAACTCAATGCCTGTGAGATACGAGCTCGCACATGTGAATCTTGTAAACAGCTTATATCTCTTACTGCTTCAAGGAAAACCTCTCTGTTTTTCATCAGCTTGTTACGAGTAATGTCCTTTGCATGCTTTATTCTAGTACCATCAATCAAAACAGAGCCCATTGATGACTATGATCCAGCCTTAATCTGCAATACAGTACACAGTGGTCTGGGAACAGTAACACAGCCTTACTATTCACAGCATACAATGGTCACCGAATCCCCTTCCTGTCTTGTGGCCACTATGGCTCCTTGCCAGCAGTTGCGCTCAGGCCTTTCTTCTCCTGATTCTCGGTACCATCAGCAGAATCCAGCCGCTGTAATATATCAAAGAAGCAAGAGCCTTAGCCCAAGCCAACTGGGCTACCAGCAATCCAATTTGATGGCTGCTCCAGTTGCCATTTCAGATGCCCATAGGTCAGTGCTGGTGCACGCTGGTTCTCCAGGCCAAACTTCAGCAGTGCTCCACCACTCTCCAAGCAACCAGCAGACTTCTCCAGTGATCCACTATTCTCCAACCAACCAGCAGCTGAGGTGTGGAAGTCACCAAGAATTTCAGCACATCATGTGCTGTGAAAATTTTCCATCCAACGTTGCAAGATCCAGCCAGCCCCAGGTCAGTCAAGCACAAAGGTTAAGTCCAAGTTCATATCCTACCGTGATTCAGCAGCAAACAGCCTCAGGTCAGCGAGCAGCAAAAAATGGACCACCGGTTAGCGACCAGAAAGAAGTGTTACCGGCTGGAGTCACTATTAAGCAGGAACAGAATCTGGACCAAGCATATCTGGATGATGGTAAGCACTGCTCTTCTCTTGTGTGCGTTGTTGGAGGGAGGGGGGAAATTTAGGACTTATAAAACCCACCTGTTCCTTTGTACAATGTGGCCTCCTTATGATGGATGTAGATATTTGCTGTTTGCTCATGCTGCATTTTGGTCTTTCATCAACTGCATTTTTGGTAGCTGGCAATGCACTTTGGCAACTGAGCAAAAGCAGTGTGTTCTGCAGAAACACTCTGTCTTGCTTCGTGCCATGGAGTGAGCTGTCAGGTTTCAAGCTGTTGCCATTTTGTTCCCATTTGCCAAAGGTTAGTTTGGAAAATGGAGAATCTGAAACAAAATGCACTTTTAAATTATTTTTTTAATTATTCATATAAGGGCAAAGTCCACTTTGTAAAATGCTGTTGTACATTTTGTACCAAAAAAAAGCCCATTGAACAGTCTATCAAGGCCTGTAATGAATGGGGTAGTGCTGCAGGCAACACTATTGCAGATGTTCTAGATGAACAGTAGGACATTGATAAGTAAAACAATGCTGTTTCTTTGTTGTAAGCTCAGCACATTTAGCCTTTAGGAATGAATATAAGTTAGAGTAAAGCTTTCTTTGAACATATCCTGCTTATTCTTAGGTAGGCAACTATTGGCAATCTGGTTGATTGGTTCTTTTATTAAAGTGTGTTCCTTGTAAGAGGAAATCAATGCAAAGTTAATAGTGCAGCTGGACACTGCAATCATAAAGGCCAGTAGCAAAACCAACATTGATTTTAGTGGGAGCAGGGTGAGGTTTCTGGATAAATTGCTGCAAATATAGGATGCTCTTATGCATCAAGACAGACTTGATTTTCACGTATATTCATTGCTGCTGTCCTCTCAGTCTAGGCAATTGCATGCCCGGTTTGATCTTGTGCATGTGCACAGTTACGTGCTTTGTAAGAACCCAGTAGTTTGGGATTTTTACGGCAGTTGCTCACTTAGAGTTGTGAAATTGTTCCCATGAAAGTTTTACTTTCTTGAACTTACGTACTGAGTGCTCTGTGGCTGTATCAGGTACAGTCTTCATTGCTGCTCTTGTGGGCAGAGTAGAGTTTGAATGGTTTTCTCTGTTAGTCTGTGTTTGAAATGTGGTTGATATAGCCTTGGTGACATCACAGTAAAATCTGGAGAGTTTTTACTGGTCCCCTTGTCTGAAGAGGAGTGTTGAATTGGGTTTTAGCAGTGATTTTGATTTAGGAGATTTGCTGGATCTGCAAGAAGATAGCTAAGTAAAATCCACTTCTGATTCAAGGAATGGGGCATGATAACAAAGCAAAATAAATCTTTCTAACAGTAAAATTGCACACTGTGTTTTAAGGTACTTCTAATATGACAAACTGAGCCATTCTTCCACCTTTCTAAAAATACTAGGTACAAACCTTGTAAAACAAATAAAAAATAATCTTGAAGTTTAAGCTAGTATACTTCAGAATCAAGCCAAATTCCACTTAAATGAACTCCCAAAATCAACTGCAAAATTTATTTCACTGGGTTTTGAATCAGGCCGGTAACATCTAAATATAGCAAAGCTCACAAGTGATCCACTCAACCTCTGGGCTAAGAGGAGCCATAAGGCAGAATAGCAGCAAGTTAATAATGAAATTCTAGGCTTCTGCTTGGCTGACTGGATCATCCTGAATTGATTTCAACTAGAGATTAATTTATCAATTATGCCACCCAAGTCAGGCCAGGTGAGATCAGTCACATGCAGCCTCTTTACTGACCCCAGTGAGTTTACATTAGTTAGGAGTGTGACTTGGAGAATTGTGATTTACTTTAGGACTTTGGAAAACATTTCATTCTGAAATGTTCAGGACTTGAATTGAAAAGCCACTATGTTTGCTGCTGGGGAAAAGTGACTCAGAACATAACAAAAGCCATATTTTTCCTGACTAGAAAGTTTATTTTTGTGCTTTATAGTATTAAAAGAAAGCAAACCCAAAGGATTATGGAGGCTTTACCCACAAATCCCTTTTATCCAGAAAGCTCTTCTGAGATAAAGTGAGCTGTTAGGTCTTGCTGTGATTTTTCACCGATAGATACTGAGATGATGGTTCCCCAGCCAGGCTGGACATGAGTGCACTGCACTGCCGCTGGTGCAGAGACTCTTGGGCAATCACTGTTTCAGTGTCTCTTGCTTCCTTTTGCTCTTCTTCCCTTCCCCCATCTTCCTCCTCCCTCCTCTTTGTTCTTCTTTCTCTGTATTTCTGCTGACAGTCCAGCTTTCGTCCCTTTCTACAGCTGTGACTTCCTCTCGTCAACTCTTGTCCTGTGCCTTCATGGTTAACGCACAGCCTTGGCGTTTTGGACTTTGCTTCTATTCTGAGCTTTGCCATGAACTTCTTGAGCGACCTGGGACAAGCCCCGATCTGCTGGTTCCTCATTTCTGATGCTGTTGCCTCTCAGAGTGGGTATGCTGTCCCAGTCCTTGAGCTCTCCTGGAAGTGACCAGAGAAAAACATCTCATAGCTAACACAGTTCCATTTGTCTTTACCTCTTCCAGCTTCCTGCTGCCACTGCTGGCAGGACCCTTCACTATTTTCTTATCTTTCCTGCTGTAAAAAAAATATTTGTCCTTCCGAGACCATGGTTTGTTCTTTGCTCAGAGCCTTCACTGCTCCACAGGGCACATAATACTGGGGACTTAGCACACTTAACCTGTCTTTACCTCCTGCCTTGTAAAGGTAAGAGCTGGTTCTGCCTCCACAGGAGGATTACAGTCAAATGTGGGACCATAGCCCACAAAGCTGTAAGCTCTCAAGGTTGAATAGCACCAGCAGTGTAGCCAAAAGAGCATGGACTTTAAGGCAGGTGATGGCGAGTATTTACCTATCACCTCAGGTGGGTTTTGCCATGTGCAAGGACCCCTTTGTGCAGTAGCTACAGAAGTGGTACCATCCATACTGGCTTCTTTAATGGTAACTTTAGCATTATCTGTAGTTCATTTCAGACTGTGCTACAGATGTAGAGACCTGCCGTATGTTTTCTTGGAATGAGACATTTACCCCTATTTTCTTCTACCTGGTGCTACCTCAGAGCAAGAGGTGCCTAGCCCAGCCTATGCAGCCCCCTTCCAACTTTTCAACTTTCCCCTCCCAGACGGAATTATAAAATGTGTGGTTACTGGAAAGAGGGCTCTAGCTATTAAGTCATAGAGGTTGATTTGTAAATGCAGCCATTAGGGAGACTGATGCAGGTTAAATATTGCCACAGATACATACAGCTTTATATACATATTCCTCCATATACCTCCATGTTTCTGTGGAAAAAAAAATCCATAATTTTTGATATCAGAGAAAGATGAATCCCCAGAGGAAGGGACTATTCATGAAAAATTGGCAGAGAAACCATTGTTACAACAGCGCCTCAGAAATTAATTACTATTGGAAATACTTCGGGAGTGAAGACAAGCTATGGTCAGGATGCTTCAGAATGCATCAGGTGTCCAGGCTAATGCTGGCAAGCAGTGATTAGCTTCAAATGCAAGTGAAAGCCATAGGATGAGAGTGCTTAGCACGTTTCAGCCCAGGCTTCAGCTTATGATTCATAACCAAAGCCACCCACAATGGTATAAGTTACACAAACAACCACAGAAATATGTTGACAAATCGAACTTAGTTCTTTCAGGACCTTCAGACCAATCAGATTAACCCTTTAAAACACACACATTAAAAATGTAGTTATTTGCAACACCGTCTAAAATCCCCTTGTGAGGCAGGACTGAGGGAGAGGGGGACTTGGGGCACTGGTTGTGCCCAGGACTGCCCATGGTCATGCTGCAAAGCCAGAGGTTTCTTGCCTACCCCTGCAGAAGCCGCTCAGCTGCCGCGTGCCACAGTTCCACATCTGTGACACAAATAGGAGGATTGTGTGACAAGAGCAGTAGGAGGATAAACGCGACACAGACTCTAAAGCACTTAGATGAGACACGATCTACAAGTGCCTTGTAGAGATTGAGTGTCAAGTATTGTGTTAGGCTCTTTCCATATACAAATAATGGACATGTAGCTGTTGTCTTGAATGTTATCAACTTGCCTGCCTTAGATTTAATTCTTCTTTTTGGTTCAGCTGTCATGTTGTGTGCTTTTTACTTTGCAAAGAAAAATGATTGTCATTATTCAAAGAGTAACTATCTAACCACATCTGACACTCAGAATTGTCTACTTGATACAGCAGCTCTAAATTATTTTTGGTGCACCAGTAATCTTTAATGGGGAGGAGAAAGGCAAGGCAGATGCATGTGTAGTGGTTTATTGGACTGCTGATCAGTTTTATAGTGAACTCACGTATTTCACAGAAAATTTCAGACACAGCAGATACTTCTTTAGAAAATGGGTCTGCAGGGTGTGCAATGTGGTGCTTGTAAATCACCCAGCACTTTCGATCACCTTCACTACGAGCAATGTGTTAATTTGTGCAGTTTTGCTCCCCACCACAGTAACCATTGCCCTAACCATGGGTCTCGTCTAAGACCATTTGGGGTGTGTTAGGTCCCTACATCTTCTTTTTGTGTTCTCTTGTTTAGCAACAAGAAAATCCACAGTCTGTCCCTGCAATGGCATGAAGTCAAATGTGAATTCCAAATTTCCTCCACGTTCAGGAGGAATCTTCCTTCTATGACCAGCTTTATTCTCCTTAGGCCGGTAGCTGTTGGGCACACGCCTGAGCAGGGTGTACCTCCAGGAAACCCTGGGTCTCCTGGGGACCCGAGAGGCAAAGCTACTGTGTCAGCCCTGAGTAAGCAGCAGTCTTGGGCTGAGCTTCTTCCTGCCAGCTTTGGTCTCTTGCCGCTCGCCCCGCAGTGTGCAGCCCGCTGAGCATCTGCGCGTGTCCTATGCGCTCCTGGGGGAGACCGGCAATCGTGCGCGGATGAAAGGAGAGGGCCAGTACAGCCAGGAGGGAAGGCAGGACATAGGGGCCCCCCTTGCAGCCGGCATGGTCCTTAGGGTTTTGGCTCGGGTGCTAGCACGTTGTGAGCATCCT